CTGCTTATTCATAGAATCATAGACATTCAGAATCAATACAGAATGTTAACCCGTACATAGACATTTCAACTGCACTCTATCCAAGATATTATATGCAGGGCCGGTCCTGGGGCATGGGCAACGGGGCATGGGCAACGGGGCATGCGCCCAGGGCCCATTGCTCCCCTAGGGCCCATAAGTTTCCCTGTTGTATATATATGCGTAGTACATTATTTAATAATATACGATAGTATACATTATATATCTATAAAAATTTAAAAATTAAACATCCACACTAGAATTCATTGGAAACAAACTTCACCATTTCTTTTGATTCATTAAAAGTTAGCACATAAATGTTCATCTTTTCATCTACTTCCCTCATGCAAACTCATGATCTATTGATAATATTTTAAGAGCATCTACAATGCTACAATGTGCACGGTGCACATGTGTCATGAGAGATAGCCACAGAAATATTAGCAAATAAATTATCTCTCTCTTCTTATTTGAATGATTTTATACAATTTTAGTAAGTTTTCTGCACAATGTCAAGAAGACCATCTAGATGTTGACATTGTGGCAGACATTGCAGAAAAAAACTTACCAAATTTGTATAAGATCATTCCAATAAGGAGATAGGTAGATAGTTTATTTGATACAACGTAATATTTATGTGGTTGTCTCACATGCCACATGTGCATCGTGCGCATTGTAGCATTGAAGATGCTGTAATAATTTTCTTTGATTCTCTCATGTAAGTGATCAAAAGAATTTATAAATTTGCGGTTTGTTTTAGTCTAGTGAAAATGTAGAGGGGTGTCGTGGATTATGAGTTTGATGGATTTTAAATGACCATGGATTTTGAAATCCGAGGGAATCTACAAGATTGTGGTGGATTGTTTTTGTATGTAAAATTCCATCAAAATCCATTAAAATCCATCCAAATTAGTAACAATAGAAATCCATGGAATGTTTGAGGACACCCTTATTTTCATGGACTCCATAGAAATCCTAATCGGGGACACCTGGATTATGATAGAATTCTAAACTCCATTAAAATCCTCCAGAATCCGAATCCGGGACACCCCTAGTAATTTGAAATATGAAAACGTTACTTCACATGAGATATAACTTTCACATATTTCCCAAATTCAAAATTCTTTATAGCAAGTAATAATTGTACTACTTTTCCATTTGACCGATTTAGATACATAGTATTCTCGAATGTCACTTATCAAATATTTAAATATAATTTTTCTAACCGTCTCATTTATTAATTTCTTTGATGTGTTATACTTGTATTTAGATAGCAATTAAAATTGCTTAATTTTACTTGGTTTTTACGAAATGTATAAACATTTACACGTTATTTCTAAGGCCTACACTATTTATACTGCCCCGGACCCATAAAATCTCAGGACCGGGCCTGATTATATGAAGTTATATAGAAAAATGCTTGACGTAACATAAAACCGAAATAAAAACATTTATTTAAAGAATCATATAATCAAAATGTCGATTTGAAACATTAATTACACCAATAACGATGAAAATTTTAAACAAAAGTATAACAGGGCCCAGTGAAGGCAGGTTAGTATGTAGATAAAATATATCCTTACCAAGGTTATTGATATCAATCGCTTACTAAAGTGCAAAAGAGATATAATTACATCATACATTCAATTCATTTATCTTACAAGTCCATCAGGGTTTAAATTTATAGCAGTGCTGAAGACGAGTTCTAATCGCTCACCATATTTATGGATCAACACCTTAGCTGCTCGCCTGCTCTCATTCGATAGGGAGACGTTTGACCTTTGAACTATGGACTAGTGGTGGACCCGGTTTGGGCCGCCCGGCCCGAGACCGGCCCGGTTCTCGGGTCCGGGTCCGGTTCGGGCACCGAACCGGTGGGGGAGGCGGGTCCGGGCTCGGGTGTTGATTTTGGAGGCCCGGCCCGGCCGGGTCGGGCCCGGGCCCGGGCCTAACGGTCCATTTAAAAAAAACAATTTTTTTCCTTTTAAATTAAAAAGGCATTTTTCCCACTTCGCCCACTTCCCAAACGGCTATATAGCCGTTGGGTGGGTACCAGGGGGGTCCGTGGTCTTTGGGGGGTGGGGGGGGTGGGGTGTGGGGGTTAAAAAAACTATAAATACTCCTAATTTTAAACATTTTTTCACACCTCTTCTCCAACTCTTCCTAAATCCTACTATCTACTCTCTACTCATCTCCATATTCATCTTCTCAAATTCTCTTATTCTCCATTATATTTTATTTTACTATGTAATACTTATACAATTATTATATCTACTTATATATTAATTATCTACTTATAAATACATATACTATATTACTTATATTTCTTATCTACTTAATCTCTACTTATATCTCTTAATACATACATACATACATACATACTACATCTACTTAATATATACTTTATATATTAAAGTATTAAATATACTTTATAAACTATTACTATATACTTAATACATGATAATATCTACTTCTCTACTTATATTTCATATATACTTATTTTCTTATTCTCCAATCTCCAATTCTCCATTATACTCTAATATTTAATTCTTATACAATTATTATATGCACTTAATACATACATTCTACATCTACTTAATATATAGTTTATATATTAAAGTATAAAATATAAGTGTATTACTCATCTTATAGTAGTATACTTATATATTATATACTATAAACATTATATTATATATTAGTTACTATAACTAGTATTATACTAGTTAATTAGTTAATTAGCATTCTTGTTACATTTTTCATTATACTAGTTAATTAGTTAATTAGCATTCTTGTTACATTTTTCATTATACTAGTTAATTAGTTAATTAGCATTCTTGTTACATTTTTCATTATACTAGTTAATTAGTTATTAGCATTTTTGTTACATTTTTCATTATACTAGTTAATTAGTTCATTAGTATTCTTTTTACATTTTTCATTAAACTAGTTAATTAGTTCATTAGCATTTTTGTTACATTTTTCATTATACTAGTTAATTAGTTCATTAGCATTTTTGTTACATTTTTCATTATACTAGTTAATTAGTTCATTAGTATTCTTTTTACATTTTTCATTAAACTAGTTAATTAGTTCATTAGCATTTTTGTTACATTTTTCATTATACTAGTTAATTAGTTCATTAGTATTCCCATTAATTGTTAAAACAACTCTACTTCAAAAAAACTAGTTAATTGTCATTATAGTTAAAGTCACATTATAATATTTTCAATTTATATTTGAACTAAAAAATAGTAGTTCAATCATTTAATTAAAGTACTTAACATTTTATTTAAGTAGTTTTTACTAAATTAAAGTACTTGAAAAGTTGCTATAATTTTAATTTTAGAGTCACACATTAATTCTACTTTGCACTAAATTAGTTTGAAGTATTCATTAAAATAGTTTTAATTAGTTGCATTAGTTTTGTATTCATTATTATATTTGTTGCCAATTAATATTTGTTACATTTTTAAGATGGAAGGTGGTAGATATTCGGTTGATTTGGATAACCTCCAACGCAATCGAAGGAACGAGATTGGGAGGAAGAAATCCCGCAAAGGTAAAGAACTTGCCGGCTCTTCATCTCAAAGCCGAGATGATTTTGAAACGGGTGACCAAAGGCGAGATGGAGATGCGATGTCCGAAGAACAACTACAACTCTTCTCCAATTCTTCTCCATCTTCATCTTCTCTTATTATCCTACATTCCTACTTATACATATTACATATACCATTTTAAAGATGGAAAATACATCTTCCCTTATGCAAAACAATTTTGATAAGTGGAAGGACCCGAAGACCGGACTGTGGTGGGCAACTTGCAAGTGGTGCAAGAAAGAGTGTTGCTTGGGGCGTTCACACGGATACGGGATGCCAATAAAACATATGAAGTCCTGTGACAAATGGAAAACAACAACCAACGTCGGCGGAAATCCCAATTGATATTTATTAGAAAATGTATTTCGTATTGTTAATTTTTTCTCAATTCTCAAATGTAGTTCCTATTTCAAATAAATGCACTTGAACTTTGTTTTTAATAGGAATTTGTATAATATATAATTATTTAAATATATATATATATATATATACTGAACCGGCCCGGCCCGGCAGGTGGCCCGACCCGTGACCCGGCCGGGTGGCCCGGCCCGAACCGGAACCGGCCATAGCCCGGGCTGGTCCCGAGCCTACCTATACCAGACCCGAGTCCATCCACTACTAGGACCCTTTTACACAATTAAACTAACCTAGTCATCACTCATCATCATCATTTTAGAAATGTGAGTGAGTTCATCAATGGCTTTTAAAATGTTGCAATCTTATTTTAGAAATGCTCTTCACTTAAAAAAACTGAAAAATGCATAAAGTTTCAGGTCAGTCTGCTCTTATGGGCATGCTTGAACATGTTGGCGAACCCATTCGTTGCGGGACGAGTCCACCCACACTAGCAGGCAGGGAAATAGTTAAAAGCCATGTTCGAGTCCGACTCGAACTTGTTTTTGTAGAGCTCTAAAACCAACCAAAGAAGTGTTCGCTAAAAATTTGAAGTAGAAGCAAACACGAGTACACGACCAACTTATTTTATTAACACTATCAACTTTTACTGTCTAACCGATCTTATTTTATCAAACACTACCAACTTTTACATTTTTCAAAAACATTTTTTTCTCAAACACGACTAACTTTTATTGTTAAGTACTTTCTCCAAAATCACTTTAAAAATCATTTTTTGAAGTAAAATTAATCGCAAATACTCCCTAATTGAGCATCGAAGTAACGTTCGGTCACCAAAAACTCATCTCCCGGGGGAAACAAAGGAAACTCATCTACAAGTCTAGAACAATGAGAGGTTCAGAGGAGGTTGATTTCGATCTACAACAATCCAAAATTTGCACATCTTATGTGGAATTTCATTCACAAAAATACCATTCAGAAGGGATAATAGATTCTAGAATATGAGATTATGAATAGAATATAAATGGTGTTCGAATATGTGGTTCACAAAAAGGAATAAAAGTAAGAACATAATGGAAAAATAATAACATTTATATAGCAAAAATGCAAAATTACACATTCTAATATTTGCACTTCCACTGCCCCGCACTTAACGGATTGGACCAAACAAGTAATCCCACACTTCTTTTTCCTTATCGTTTTCATCATCAAATATAACAGACACAATGAGAATACTATAGGAACTTTATTTCCAGCATCTCTTACCCAAGCCATATTTTTTACATACGCTACTATAGATACTACAGATGGTATAAATGGAAGAAAAACTTATGTTGCTAGCCAACGCAGCCAGAAGAAGTTTACCCTGAATCATATGTAACGCTTGGTGGCTTTTTACAGATGTATATAAAATGTGAATCTGGATCTTCCATAACATAATCAGCAGAAATTAAGCCCGTCTCAGTCAAAGGCACAGGTTCCAAATGTGACCTTAAACTAGGGGTTGAGTCTGGCTTGTAAAATCCAGGTCTAGCTGCAAACCCAAATAATATATAACATATAAGTACATACAACACAAGTAAGTAGCTAGTTTTTAGTTATAAGAAATAGTGTGCTCATTAGAAAACAAAGAAAGACATCTATACCATTGTAAGTTATAGCATAGGCTCTGTTTGCTCCAATATTTCCCTGATTTTTTTCCTGGGTTTTCATATGTTAAGCACAGAGGAAAGATTATGTGTTTGGCACCAGAATATTTTTTTTTTCGATTCTTTGAATTTTTGCGGAAAATGAGTTCCTGCAATGAAAACAGAAGTCGTTTTCCTGATTTTTTTATGATTTTTGTTTTTAGTGGGTCAAACGTTATATTATACACAAAAGTCGAGTCATCTTATTTTTCAAGAAAATATTTCACATAAAATATTTCGAGAAAAAAACTCTTTCACTGAAAATATTTTGAGAACAAACATTATGAAGAAGGCAATTTTCAGGAAACAAACAGAGCCCAAGTTACATTAATGCTCATGATCTGCAAATTCTAATGAGGTCCATAAAAGTCCAAATGATTTAATTTGGTTCAAAATCATTTATAGAAAGACAGATTCCTCTTGGACAAATACTTGTTATAAGAAGCTCAACATGAAACCCAAGTATTACGCTGATGAGTACTGGCACCACTTTTCTTAGAGGAGCGGTCCAGGCATGTTTTCCCTAATCCTAAACATGCTGGGGGTGTGTTATCTTCTGTTAAAGAACACACTTCAGCTAGATTCTTGTTTCGTACTCCTTTTAGTTTATAATGAGTCATTTTGGAAGAAATCAAGCAGATGTAAGAGATAAAATGGGAGACTACTTGACATTATTACCCTTGGCTAACATTCAGTAATCATACAGAAAAGAAATATCTATGCCCTTGGACTATATGTTATGAAATATACCCTCAACTTTCTTTTAGAACAACTAAACACAAAATTGGAACGAATATACCCTTATGTGTAAATAGTTGAGTGGCAAATATGTTTTCTCATATACTATCTATTATTCAACGGCATATTTGTTTCAACTTTACAATTTTTTTGTTTCAGCTCAAGAGTATATTTGCTCCTCCCACTAATCATATAAGATTAACTTTGCATAGGGGTCCTTAAAGAAAGCCAAATCAAAAAAAGTAGCATAAAATACCATCTTATCTAATTCTTTATAAAAAGACACCCATAGGCTAAAGAAAGTAGATCAGATTATATACAACAATGTCGAAGATAAATAAGGGGCTTACGTATGTTGTATAGCTCAATGTTCCAGCTGTACACAGGTCGATTCAGATGAGGCATCCTCACTGTGGGATCACCATAAGTTATCTATGAGTAGAAAGAAAATATTCATAAATATAAGGTTCAAATACTTATGAGGCAATGATAACACGGAGAATCTTTCCGCTGATAATTACCAGCATATAGACTCCACCAGGCTTCAGAATCCTATTAAAAAGATAAAAATCGTCATTAAAAAGAACATTAAAGAATTAAAAGGACTACAGAAAGATAAAACAATATATATTTAAGGTCCGTTTGCTTCAAGGATGATAGTTTTTGAGGAAAATGTTGATAGGAATGTTTTCCTAAAAACCGAAAATTAGAAAACATAAAACTGTTTCAACATAGCACAAAGAATAAAGGGAAATGATTTCCAATGCTAACTAGAGTAAAATCAGAAGGCATTTTCCACACATATGAGTTCCTTGTAACAAACGGGGCCTAAAGCCTAGAAATTTAAGAACCTGTTCACTTCACCTAGCATTTGACAAGCACTAATTGGAGCATTCGTACCACACTGTAAAGTTATAAGCACGGATCACAAATTTAGGTAATGAAAAACATGTTGGCACATTTGAGCAAATTTTTAACAGAACACACAGAGAAAAACTTACCATTAATGAATCAAGAGTTCCTGTTACAGCGTGATGACCAGATTATTCATACAAAACCAAAGATGAAAACAAACATTACATTCCTAGAACAATCAAGTTAGCTTGCAGAACCTTTTAGGCTCTGTTTGGTTGGAGGATTTCGGAGGGAAGGGGAGGGAAGTGGGTTATTTGTGTGTGTTTGGTTGAAGGAAATAGGGGGGGAGGGGAGGAAAGTTGAAGGCTTCCAAAGTCCTCCACTTCCTCTCATTCTCAACTCCCCCAAATCGGGGTATTTCGGAGGAAACGTGTTGATAACCACAAACTATCCATCATTTTTCTCCTATGTTAATGGACAAATCGTTATATTATAAAAAATGTAAAAATTAAAAAAATATTAAAAAATTAAAAAATCAAAAAATTAAAAGATCTATAAAATTGAAAAAATAAAAAATTCAAAAGATATACGAAGTATATATTATGACTCGTGGCATTAGGAGTAATATTCATAATAGTTAGAGATGTATCTAATTTTTTAAGTAAGCTATCAAATAAAGCTATATTGGGAAAATATTTTCATTAAACTTTCCTCCCATTTCGTCCAACCAACCACAATTTTTTATCAAAATCCTTCCTCCCCCTTCCCTTTCCCTCCCTCCTTGACTCTCTCCTTCCCTCCCTTCCTTTGAACCAAACAAGACCTTAAGTCATATAAAATGAATCTTAAGGCAGTCTTGCCTTTGTCGATGACACTATCAAATGAATCATCCGGAAATAAGCTCATATCTCTAACATCCATTTGCATGTCTGTTCAGTTCTATAAGAAAAACTCTTCCCAATAAGAATAAATAAATCAAAAACAAATGAATAAGATAGTATGCATATAAAAAATCAATAAATAAATTACTATGTACTACGTATAATTTATTAAACAAGCAAACAAGCAAATAAATTGATTAATTAACTAATTAATAAGAAAATAACTAAATTAGTAAAAAATAAACAATTAAATAACTATATAAATACAACTTGAATGCTTGTATGTAAACCATGAGCTATTAGTTAGGATACATTGCAGTTCACCTACATGTTCATACTTTTTTCGCATCATATCAATAGCCACTGATGATATGTCAACATTCACTATCTCCACATACCCGTCCTTTACCATTTCCTCCGACATAACTACAAAATAGAGTCATAAAAAAGAAAGGATATCACTTATCAGCAAACTTTGCATACAGTCCAAACAAACAGAGATAGCCAATAGAACATCTTACATCTGCCCTTCTAATGTAGGTCACCAAATTCAAGCACATATATATCTCTATGTGCCACACACAAAACAGGTTTTTCAAATTTTATGTGAGCAAGAACTTAGCTTTCTATGGCAATGAGGGAGTAGATAATGGACCTGGTAACTGAAAAATACCAAGCTGAATGTAGTCCTCAAGTTTTGGAAAACACTCAGATGAGCCCCATCAATATCAATCATATTTTGAACAACGCGAAAAACATTAGAAGATATAAAGTACCTTCATCCTGACATGAATGGAAACTCCATATATTATTTTCGTGGTAGGAAAAAGAGAGATTTAAAAATGTAGTTTCCGACTTTCAATTATTAGGAAGTTGAAAAATACACTTTTTGTTGTTGGGGGGGGGGGGGGGGGGGGCAGAGGCGCTGTTTTTGAATGTGATAAAAAAAAAGTCACTAGTCAGACAATGCTGAAGCAAAATACAATACTAAGAAATTAAGAATGTTTTATACAACACATGCTGTTTAAAATACATAGTAGAACCTAAGTAGCAGCTTAACATATTAGGATGAAAGGCATTTCTGCTTTTATGATCTCTCCAATTCCTTGTCCAAAACCATGCCATTGTAGCCACCTCTTAAACTTTTGGAAAGTGTATAACAACCAGAACTTTGAAGGTGATATTGTTGAGATGGATCACAGATGCCCGTCTAAAGTAGGGAAGGAAGAAATAGAGACGTAATAGGAGATGATACAAGAGTCACCCCAATTAAGGACAAGATAATGGAAATCTTTGGCATGTTCTGAGCTTTAGCAGGTGAGAATGCGTAAAAATACAATCTAAGAGGTTAGAGGAAAACCTAAGTTGCTTGGGCAGAGACCATTACATGAAAATATGAGAGCATGACACCTCATGAGCATGTGGTTTACCAGCTACAAAGTACAAACCAGACCAAATGGAATCACTTGATGCGCGTAAAACAGACCACGTGTGCTATTGTTCAGTTTGTTTGGTGAAATACCAAGAACAATGGCATGGAACAAATGCAGAAAAGAACTACCCATATGTTTGGACTTTGGATAATAGGATATCATTCGAAATCCCTGGATTTGAGTCAAATTCTATGTTTAGAGCTCAAAGACTTCTGGATTTAAATTTAACTTAAACCACACATTATTTAAGAATACTGATTCTAATACGTAGTCATATCTAAAATTCCTTCCATAGTTGATGAACAATTTAATTCATTGAATCCAACCACTGGCTAAATCATTTGGGAATAAATATAAATGTAAGATACGCTATCTTTTAATAATCCAATTCAACAAACATCCCAAGATCCCTAATTGAATATACAGAGTACTAAATAATAAACACTCTAGTACACGAGAGCTGGCTAACATGTAAGTTATAAGCTCCCAGCCTGGCAGGCTCCAAGATGCCTTCCTACCATAATTCCCTCTATTCCCCAATCCCTAATCGAAGAAAGATTCCATCTTTAATAAATCGGCATCAATAATTACGAATTAGAAAGTGTAAAAAGATGGAGATAAGATAAAGACACGAGCAGAAGGGAGAAATTACCGGCATTACCGCAGCCGACCATGAGAACACGGGAAGAGGTGGGGACATACTTGCGAACAAAAGGGCGAAGAGACGAATAGCGTTGGTACCAGTCGAAGGGGCCAACCCCTGCTTCTTGTATATACCTAGCATCCCAATAAAGGGCGTCTCCGTAGTTGTACGTGTTGCATGCCGGCTCGTCTCTGTACATGTTCGGGGGGTGTTTGGGGGAGACGGCGGTGGGCTTTTGTACTTCAGAGCAAAGGTGTTCCAGTGGTTGGATCAGGACTTCGTGGAAGAAACTGATGATACTGGCGAATACGGCGGATCCGTAAAATTTGAGTGTACCACGCATCTCTATTTGTGCTTGCTTAATCAAAGGCTCAAAGCTACTCACTGTACATGTTCGGTACTTACATACACAACTAATGTGCATGTGGCAAATGGTAATTGGGAGGTTTATCAAAAAGGTAATTTTGAGCTTTTTTATTCAAATGAAAATTCTCGAACTATTTTGATACCAAGTTTAGTGATAGTTTTTCTCAAGCTGCGTTGGAAACTAAGATAAGTGAAGTCAATTAGTTAAGAGTGATTTGTTGTGTGAGCTAAGTTACATATTGACGTTGGGAATTTAATAGATTGCTCTAGTAACTTGAAATGACCTCTCTCCAAATTTTGGATAAGTTCTCTAGATCCTAGAATCAGTTACATGAAGTCATGATCATATAGTAATTTTGGGATGAGTTCTATAGATCCTAGAATCAGTTACATGAAGTCATGATCATTTAGTGGTTAGTAAACTGTAAAAGGAAATAAGTAGTGTATTTGATAACAACAATATAAAATAACCAAAAATATTATGAAACTTATACTTTTAAGGGGAAAGTTATTCTTATGGTAAACTCCACTATTAAGTTTGGCTCTAAGAGAATGAATAAGTCGAAGAGGAAACATAATTTGGACCTACAAGTGCAACTTTGAAATCTAAAGGTGGATTTCAATAGAAAGCAAAGGTACTGAGGACATTTGCTTCTAGTTTGGGTATTTTTGTTTGAAAAGAATATGTTCACTACTTAACTTCAATCTTGTGGTGCACACATTTGTAGTAATGTGCATGGTCTAATTGACAATAGAGAAGTTAGATTGTGTGAAATTGTTCTACGCGTGATTACTAGAGCAAAAGTTGTTGTTGAGTGATGCATGACGTATCATCTACGTACTCAATGACTAAGCAAACTTTCATTTCATTCTTTTAAAGGGAATAACATTATTTACATTCCTATGTTAGTCATTAAGACATTTTATTAATAATAGTGATTGTTTTCTCTGAAAACGTGTTATTTATGAAAATGTTTCTTTGATGAATGATTTATATATTATCACATATAGACATAATCACATTAAATAAAAAAATTAAAGATCAAAACTAAATAATCGTAAAAATACACATATTTATTGCATTGAAGTCTTGGTTATATTAATGAGGCATGAATAGGAAAATTAAGTAAATTAAACTAGTCACTTGGCAAATGAATCATAAAATAATCACGGACATTGTCTTTAAACTAGGAAGAAGATTGCGGCCAAATATAGTGCTTGAGTTGGTTCACAGACACATATGTGTGTGAAGTGTGAACCATTCCCAAATTAAATAAGAGAATGTTTTCTTATTTCATCAAATTTAGTGATGATTTTTTGTAAATGGTTTTGTATATCTTATGAAACACAAAGTAGAAGCCTTTGAGAAATTTATTGAGTATAAAACAGAGGTAGAAAAACAAATTGACAATAGTAATGAAATTGTATGACATGATCGATGAGAAGTATATTTGAACAATGTGTTTCTGGAATATTTAAAGAGACGATAAGTTCCTTTAGAATGGACTACTCCTTCTAAATTGAATGGAGTTTCTAAATAAATACTTGTAAATAGAATGTTGTTAGACATTACTAGACCATATGGATTCTACATTATTAGGTCAATTATTTGTTATATTCCACAAACACATAATTTAAGGAATCAAATAAAGACCGTAAACAAAAAATGTTAATCATTGTGTGAGAATTGCAAAATGACATTAATTACTTTTTATTATTAAAATGTAATACAGAGTATTATTAATCACGTATTTAAATTAAATACGAGAGAAATTAAGTTAACAATCCATTAAAAAGGCTAAAAAAAGGATTATTACATTAGTATTAAAATATTTACTGGAATGTACTCCGTAATAATAATGTAGAAAAATAAAAGAAAAGTATAAAAGTTTGATGGAGAATATACAAACTAGAAAAATTACGATAATTGAACACTTCTAAAGAAAAACTTATCCAAAAAAAAGTATTGAAAATTAAATTACACTCAAAAACTAAAAGTGTAACAAACACTTTAATACGAAGAGAATATATTTTTTAAATGTGATACCTATATTAGTATGTGCCATGTTTCTCATATAAATCACATTAAGAACAATTCTTAATGTGAGAACAGCACCAACTTTTATTGTAAAAAATTGTCAAATAAGTCCTTCAACTTTCATAGAAAAAGTCAATTAAGTCCTTATTTAGGAGGCACTGTCCGGTCGTCGCGATTTGGGGCGGTTCCCGGTGGAATTTTTTGATGAAATTTTTTGAACATCTTATTCGTCAAGTCTAGTTTACTCATACAAAATTTCAACTAAAACTTCCATCGGGAACGCATTTAAATTAATTGCACAGTTATTTTCAAGAATTAATTTAATGCGTTCCCGATGGAAGTTTTAGCTGAAATTTGGTATGAGTAAACTAGACTTGACGAATAAGATGCTCAAAAAATTTTATCAAAAAATTCCACCAGGAACTACCCCAAATCACGACGGCCGGACAGAACATTCTAAATAAGGACTTAATTGACTTTTTTATTAAAGTTCGAGCACATATTTGATATTTTCCCCATTTTATTTACGATGCATAATGAGGCTAGTTCATTACACTTTTTCAAGCTAAGCACAAAATTTACTAAAACCTCACCAGTCACCACAATGATTTAATACTCGTATTAACTTTGTTACAGTTTTTTTGGCAAAGGTTACCAAAAAGTTAATCAGTGCACTAAACCATTTGTGTATTACATTGGGCTGAAATGCCTTGTCACGCTAGATAGTTATTAGGGGTTTATTAGTTCTAAACTTCTAATTGGAATTGAGGTAACCTTTTTAGTGTGTCAATCTCAGGTTCATTTTCGTCCAAAAAGAACTATTCATAAGAGGGTCTTTCGTCATCAACCAGGCTGGTCGATATTATGGAACCATCGACGGCGTACCTTCGCCGGCCGGCGAAGAAATCTAGAAGGACGACTATTCAAGACCTTAGCGATGACGCACTCTGTATGGTATTCGCCTTCCTCGACATCTTTGAGCTAATTCGCAGCTCTGCCGTCTGTTCTTCCTGGTAAGTCTTTTCGAACTCTTCTGAAGGGAGAAGAATAAAATTATCGGTAGGGATGTGCTCCTGTTTGCAGTATGCATTTTTTCCCGGAGGAAAGATTATCAATTGTTACTCCGTATTAATCAAATATTGGTTTAAAGAGTCCAGAATACAATCACGAGGGTAATGCTGCCGTTAGGTGTCCTTCTGTTTGGATCATTGGATGGGTGTAAAGCAATTCAATTAATGGAAGTTTAGAGAAATGTAAGGGATGAAAATGGAGCAACAGGGAGAGGAGGTGATGTAGTTAGCTTATACTGTAGACTAGGGTGGAATGGTGGATGATGCTATAAAGGGTTGCTGTAGATGGATGGTGGTACAACTCTTCATAGCAAAATTTTTAGGCTAATTTCACCTACTTTCCACCCCCTATGGGAGTGTTAAAAAATCATTAGAAATAAGTTGTTATAGGAGGGGAACAACAATACTCCTTTTCACTTCATCGAGCATTTGAGCTCCTTCTATTACACTCTTCCAGTCTCTCCCAAAAAGGGGTAACCCTTTACCCTTTTATTCTCTTTCATTACTTAGACCTCCATCCATGTAAGGTTATACAAAACTGTTCACTATACCTCATGGTTAAAACCCTTCTAGCATACAAAAAAATCCATAAAATTGTTTCTTTAAGTTTGTACTTCTGAGATGACAGATCATACATACAAAACTAAAAGGTGTTATGAAAAGGTGCTTTAAAGATTTGAGACATTTGTTCACTTTATAATAAGTTTGACACATTATTGTGGTCTCATAATAAATGAAAAAAGTGGTAACATAAAAAATTATCCACTGGCTGTGCATGGTATAATTATAAAATGATATATCACATTGCTTAAAGATCCTCTATCCTCCCCATGAAGGAGAAAAATTGTTCAGAAGTTGAAGTTACTGCAAATACAGTATCATCGGAAACACAAAAATGATGCCAATGAGCAATGTTTGACTTCTTCAAGTGCAAGATCACTGAATGATCATTTGGAGCATTTGGCTACGGACAAACACAGGTCTTCCTTAATGGGATGTAATGCTAATGTTTTTCAGCACAGATGCCACTCATTTGGGTTCGTATTTTTCACCTTTTTTGATATGTTTGAGTTACTTATTTAGTATTGCTAATTTGAGGTTATGAATAATAGTTTCTATTTCATATTTTTATTTAATACCATTGGAGTTTAAGGGTTGAATGGTGTTATTGACTAGTATATGAAAAGAACCATCTTATAATTTCACATCAATTAGGGTTAATCAGTGCCGGTTGAAGATGGGGCATTTTCTGACGGGTGTGGGCGATAAGGTCAGACAGATGCTTTTGTATATCAACAATAATTTAATGCAGAAATTGCCCTAAGTAGGAGTAAAAACGTTTTGAAATTCCAAAATAGGAGTATCATATTTTTTATTCCCTGAATAGGAGTAATCTGCCAAGTTTGGAAAAAAATGCCATGTTTAAAGCCTTGTAATGCCAAACTTGGCAGAAATTTACTCTTATTTAGGGAATAAAAAACATGATACTCCTATTTTGGAATTTCAAAAAGTTTTTACTCCTATATAGGAAATTCTCTCTAATTTAATTCACTTTTATTAGTTTCCTTTTTATGCTCTTTGGGTTTCCATAGTTGTGAGTTGATGATTATTATTTATCAATTTCACTTGGCAAAATACTTTTTGATACCTGTGAGTTTTTAATACATTTTACACTCCCAAAATATCTAGGTCATGCGACTCTGGTCAGCAGAAAGCTACAAATGCTTGGATGAATACTTTCTGCCTGATAAAGCCCCTTTAATTGATTTTGACTTTGATGAGAGCAAGGTAGTATTAAACAACTTATACCTTTTACTTGGAATTATGTGCAAAGAGATGATCTTGTAAGACGATCTTCTAACCACATAGTGTACATCATGTAAGTTATCTGAATTGGTGTCATATACTCATTTCAAGGACAAGGTTAGAGTTAAACATTTTGGTTAGGTTGAAAGTAGGCCCTACATTGCTACATTATGTGGTATAGTCATGCATATCTGGTTGGTTCATAGAAGATAATTTAACATATAATAAGCTAAAGTAGTGAACATTGTAGGCAATGTTTTAGATAGTTAATATGATGATGCGGGAAAAGGACACCCCAATGTGATTGTCAGTTTAACACCCGTTAAAGGCTTAAAGCCAATTCCATAGAAACTATTGGACTTGTCCTATGTTATCTAATCGGCGAGTACTCACTGATGTACTAGCTGAGTACTCGCTACTCGAAGTAGGGCTTTGCCGATTAGTACTCTGAGTGGCACTGTTCCATTTTCCGAGTAACTCGCTAAGTACTTGGCGATTATCTCTACTCGGTGACAAGCTTCACTCGCCGAGTTACTTTTTTTTACAGCGACTCGCCAAGTTATTTAGTAGTCAGTAAAGTTGATTTTTTTTGGTTAAATTTGAAAATTTTAAAATAAATTGGGATATTGTGGAATTTATGAATAATTAATAGGCATTTTTAAAATTGGAAAAATAATAGTGCAAAGTCAGTCTAGGTTTGGGGGCATGGAGGATAAAGAACAAAACGACGACCCTAAATCCAATGAAGATTAGTTTAGATCTTTAGGACAAAAGTTTAGAATAAGGTTTAGAATAAAGTATTTGGGGCATTGATTATCTCTGGTGATTGATTTTTTTGGAAGTTAGAATGTTTATGATTGTTGGGAACTTGGAATATGTTGCTACTTCAGGTATTCAAATTGAAGAATTATAAGACTAATTTATTACTAGAATTTGGGGCATTTATGTTTTTTATTTTAATTAATACAAGGCCGAGTAATAGCTTGTGAATATGATGGAATAAAGCAAAATGGCTCACTAAACTGTCTGCGCTTATTTGTTATGAAGCAGCAGTCAGTGGATGCAATGCAATTTTTGACGCGGTTTTCACACTTGGTCATTCGGAAACAGTATCTCTGTATAGGGGTAATACTGCGTACATCCGACCCCCCTTACCCCACCATAGGTGGGAGCCTTTGCGGCACTGGGGTAATGATAATGATGATGACAAGGCCGAGTAATCACTGAGTAATCCCGAGTAATCGGACCTAATCATGTCCCGGCCCTTGACCGAGTTACTAGTAGCGATTTAACTACTTAGGACTTGTCTTATCTGTGTTGAAGAACACAAGTTTATTTGCGCATAATATAGCTCTCTCTATCCTTCTTATCTTCACACTTTTCTTTTTTGTCCGAATTTATCTCTCATTTCTGTTCAGGGAAGTATTATGGGGTTCATATTCTTAATAAACCTCAACCACACTAGTTTTCAGTTATGTAAAGAGCGTACAAAGTCCATTCAGGAGATCAAATAGGGACAGATCTTGAAAGATGCATTGTGTAACTATGGAGAAGATGAAACCAGTAAAGAAATTAGACAGTACTACCTCTGTCCCGTTTTAGGCTTCTCGTTGAGAAATGACACAGTTATTAAGACAATAATTAAATAAAATAATTTGAGTATATTTTGAGAAATGGTTGTGATGAATATATAACATAATGAGGTCAATGATGATAACTGTGATGTTAGGATGTTTTTACTTGGACTGTAATTTGTCCCAGACTAGTCCAGACCAGACCAGACCAGACTTGGATAGTTATAAAAATACAAAGAAACCAGACCTTACCAGACCAGAACAGAGCAGCAAATTACAGTCCAAGTAAAAACATCCTTATAGGTAAGGATGGCAACAGGGCGGATCGAGGATGAGTTTACATATATCCGTACCCGCCCCGTTAGATAATTTCCCCGCCCCATTACCCATCAGATAATTTTTATTCAAACCATAACCGCCCCAACAGGTAACAGGAAAAATTTCGGGTAACCGCGGGTAATCGCTTTATTAAATGAGTCATTAATTTTTTATATAAAGAATACTGTAAAAGGTGAAAAATGGCATTGCCTAGACGACTCTAGACTTCAGACGTCACTTTAAAGATTCATATATCTACAAAACGAGAAAGGAAGCAACTTAAATTAATTTGACCCAAAATACTTGATCTAAAAAATAATTAATCACGAAAAAAAATATGATAATAATCAAACAAGACTATTAAAATCTATTAAGAACTTTTATTCATACATTATAGTTTGTACATCTATAATCTATATATACATAATGGAAAGAGAAAAATCTCATCTTTTAATAGTTGTGGGACAAATAATAGATAAAAATGTTATAAAAATATAATTAAAAATAAATGGGGCGGGTAATGGGGCGGGTAATGGGGCGGGCATGTATAAAACCGTAACCGCCCCATTACCCGTAAAAACAAAACGAGTATTCCCCGCCCTGTACCCGTTACCCAGTCAATGCGGTTTTCCCCGTTTCGGCCGGGGCGGTTTTGTACGGGTATCCATCGGTTCGGTCACAATTGCCATCTCTAGTTATAGGATAGGTGCATTTTTTTAACATTTGATGATTAATTTCCCATTTAAGAGCGCTAATCAATACCAAAAATAGAAATGAGAAGCTTTAATTGGGACGTCTAATAAAGGCAAGTGAGAAGCTTAAGTTGGGGCGGAGGGACTAGGGAGTACCAATTATGGATTAGATAATTGATTGAAAGTAAAGTGGTTAAAGGAAATACCTTGAATCTATCAAGTAGAAAGAAACAAAAAAACTACAAAGAGCTTCAGAGAAACCCTCCGAGTGCAAAGCTGCTAGTTATATTAGAACTATAACTATTGCCTCCTGTCTTTGTCTAATTATCTTAAAACTATAGCCTTCTCTCTTCACTATTAAAAAGATCTACCTTGCTAATTGGTTCCCTAGATTCTAATTAATGGTCCATCTCTGGTAGGCTTCTAACTACTTTCCTTGTTTTCCTTCCCTTCCAATTTGATTGCCATTATTAATCAAGAGGATATGTATTTGTATCTTTGGATAAAAATAATCCCAAGATTCTTTTCCTCTTTGAAATACTAACTACTAAGGAGAGTTTAATGGAAGAAAAGCTCTGCATTCCTGCCCCTAAGGGGTATGAATTGTACTGATTATCGTTGCAAAGCTGTCTATTTCTTCTTGTTTTTGCAATAACCTTTCTGTATTCTATACATTCTTATTATGGAACTTTGCTTGTAGGTTGTTGGTTTGGTTGGTGACCGGATGTGTATATGGAATCGGACTGAAACGAGGACTATATTGTCCTCACGTGATGGCATATTCACAAAGGGACTTTGTATGCGGTGAGGAATATGTTTATGTTGCTCCTTAGTTCCCCCAAGCTTGAATCTATAGTTGCCCATGATATCTTTATAGTTGCATGCACAAGATTAGTTTTCATGTGGCTGGCTAACTTTGCTGCCCAATATTTTAGCACGTAAACATAAACTTGTGTTAAAATAAAAAATCAATATGATGACATTATGGCTTGGCATTTTTATAATGAAACCCTTGAGGGAGTTTGGTTCGGGTAATCTCACATTCTCACTTTACTTTGGCAATGTGAGAAAAGTAATGGGCGATTACCTTGTTTGGTTCAGGTTCTCACTTTTCAGGTTACCAGGGTAATCTGAGATGGTCTCTATGTAGGAAAATGAGGTAGTCTAATTACCCCCGAGTTTCTTAGGCATTGCAAGGTTGCTTTGGTAATATTTTGCGACTATTTTGACTGTGTTCAGAACAATATAGTGAACCTATCAGCTTAAGGCAATCTAGCATTCTCGTATCACACATTACCTTTGATGCATCATGCATGCTACATTTCAAGATTGTGGAAAGAATTAAAGAGAAACCAAGTAGAAGATTGAGGAGATAATATGACTGATTGAAGTGCTCTAGTATGGTTAATTGAATTTATTTTAACTTGATTGTATTACCTTCATTGGCTTGTCTAGTTTATAAAGTCATTTGCTGGTATTTCTTCCCTGTGTAGGTGCTCCTATGCATGTAATCCCTATTTATAAATTGAAGCTTTGCTTTGTTAATAATCATCATATAATGAAGTAAGAAGAAAACTGAAAAGTTTCTTAAGCTACAATGGCAGCCTGCATCATCATTTTCCTCACACCCCAATTGCCCATTTGCCCTGCCAACACCAACAACCATTATAGCATATACCATTCTTGCACATGAAACTTCTCTTTGCTAATTAGTTTCTCCGCCATTTTTTCACAGTTATGTTGATCCAGAGGCTGTGATTGGATGTGAGGATGGGAAAGTCCGCATATTTGACCTTTACAGCAAAAAAGTTACTCAAATAATTAAGTATGACCTTTCTTTTAGTACACATTATTTCTGTTCTTTTTTGTTTACTGAAATTGCGAAAGGTAGGTATTCCTTTCACACATTCGAAAACACAGGTTCTAACTTCTTATGTACTACATTCTGCAAGGCAGTGTATAGCTACAGCCTACAGCAGATGGTATATCACTGATCATTTCTGGTTGTGTACCCATATTGTAGGATGCATGCTGGTCCTGTTACATGCTTATATTTTGGTGAAGATCAATTGCTTTTCAGTGGCTCTACTCAGGGTGGTATGGTTTCACTATTGGACCTTTCATGCGGTCAGCCAGTGCCTTTGCGGACGACCTCTTATAGTTCAGGTTATTCTCCCCTTCCTCTGTCATACATGGCCCCTGTATTTGTAAGGTGAGGTACTTTGGTAATGTGAAAATGGTTTGTAAGGCTCCATTGGTTAATTGGAAAATAACTTGGGGAAAATATTACAGGAGAAAAATGTTTTTCTTGTAATTTAAGTTATTCTTTGTATAATTATACGGGGTCTTGAGACCAGTAATGTTTACAGGGTGAAATTTTGGCTTTCAACACAAACCAAGAAATAATCTTAGGTTTCCTAACATGGCCTTATTCAATAGTACTTCACTGTCCACATCAATCTTATTTAATCAAGGCTTCATTAAATAGGGGAGAAATTTCCGAAAGAAATTAATATGCATTGAATCATTAATGTTGTACAAATGATTTATATTTAGGACCGCCCTATCACAGAACCTCTCTACCATTTCATTATGTGCATCTTTTTACACTACTGAGCTTGTTTAACACAGAACTGATGAACACCTTCTGTCTTTCTTGTAAGCGGGAATCAAAACGTTGTGTTTCAATCCTGGCTCCAATTATTTGTTCGCGGGATCCACAGCTGGTCATGTATTTTGTTGGGATCTTAGGTATGCAACTAACTCACAAGTAAATCACCAACAGTTGATCATTGTGGACATAAGGCTGAGACGGACATATGTTTGGAACTCGAAATGGGTGGGGGAAGGAAAAGTACAGAGGGGAATAGTTATGATTCTTTACATGTTCGGTTTTCCCTTAGCAAATGAAATGAAAAACAAATTCTATCAAAAATTTCAAGTGCGATATATATTTAGATTTCATAGTCTTTATGCAATAGAAATATTTAAACAAAATGAGTTTGAACAACTATTAAACTGATTTATTGAGTTTGAACCAACCCTTTCCCAATTTTTTTTTACTTCCAATCTCCTCTTTGTTTTTCTTATTTAATTTTCTTGTACGTGTTGTAAAGGTATTACGTTTTGGTCATGTATCACCATGAAACCCAAAGTTTTAAGGAGCTGTGTGATTTATTATGGAGCCTGATGATATTCATCATCACCATTCATTTTTATTCAAAATAGTGAGCAGACCCCATTGTGAAAACGAATGGTGGTGATGATGCCAAAGGAGTTGTATGAATTCATAAGGGAACCAGACATAGGTCCTTAAAATCCCTCACATAACATCCCTTGCACTTTAAATGCTAAGAATTTATCTTGTCACATCTCACCATAGGCGGAGAGACAGGACCCTGTGGGAAAACCGAGTGAGCCCAAATGTTCTTAATTCCATGCATCATCTCCGTAATGACAAGTCAACATTAGTCGTGGGTGGAATAGACGGGGTCCTAAGAGTGGTGGACCAGGATTCGGGGGAGGTGATGTCTCTGCATATTATGGGAGAAGAAAGAAGCCATGCATCGTCTGGCTCTTCTGGAAGAAGTATGATTGTCAGGAAAGTGAAAAAACTTTCCTCAGGTGACCGCATTGATCTTCTGTCCATAGCTTGTAGGCCAAAAATCACATGCCTGGCTGTTGGAATGCAGAAGGTTGTGACTGCACATAATCAAAACTACATCAATGTTTGGAAATTTAAGTAGGTGGTTAAGTTTTTGACAATTTATTCTTAGGATGTTCGGTTTGGGTTTTCTTATGTTCCCTTTGGTTATAAGATAAACTCCCTGTGATAATATGAGATTGCATAAATACACAGTACTTTGTTTGGTAAAATTACCTTGTGGTTTGAGTTCACATTGTGGGAATATAATGTTATTTTGGGATTATTTTCGGTGTTTGCCTCACAAGTCACAAGGAATTGGTTCCAATTTTTCATGTTAATACGTTTAAAGTTAAAAGTTTTCATTTTAAAGAGAAATGCATTATCCTCATCAGGAAGGATCTTAACGAAGCCTTCATCTCTAACTGATGCGTCTTGTTTCAAACAATTCAGATCTTCATTTCTAATACCTTGCTCTTCTACAAGACTGAAATTAAATGATCAAGGTTCTAATATAACACATGAAATCTGACGTGAACAAACTGTTCAAGTCTACAATTTTTATTGTAAAGACATCTTGAAAAGGAACCACCGGCTCCACTACTAGTTCCTCTCCAGCAATTCCTATATCACATTTGAATAAGACAACATATCTGTTTGCCTTAATCTATTACCCTAAAAATGAGTAAAGGGTCAGTTTGGTCCTTGAAGTTGCAAAAAAGAGGTCAAATAAGTCCTTATATAGAAGATTTTGTCCGGACATACCATTTGAGGTGGCTCCCTGTGGAATTTTTTAATAAAATTTTTTGAGCATACTATTCATTAAGTCTAGTTCACTCATACCAAATTTCAGATAAAAATTCAATCGGGAAGACATTCAAATGAATTCTTGAAGATAACTGTGTCGTTAAAAGCGCAGTTATCTTCAAGAATTCATTTGAATGTCTTCCCGATTGAATTTTTATCTGAAATTTGGTATGAGTGAACTAGACTTAATGAATAATATGCTCAAAAAGTTTCATCAAAAAATTTCACTGGGAGCCAACTCAAATGACATGTCGGACAGAATCTTCTATATAAAGACTTATTTGACCCCTTTTTGTAACTTTTAGAACCGAACTGACCTTTATCCCGATTTGATTTGCACCCCCCTTGCACGCGTGAGAGAGCCTTTCACCTTAGGAATCTTAACTCCTTAAGGTCCCTTTATAAAGGATTGCAAATCCCTTGGGTTTTCCTATGTGGGAAATAACACACTAGAAACTCATCCATTTTCTCAGTTTTTCCATTCTAACGGGTAAACTTCGAGGATTAATTTCTCATTCACCCGTTATCCGTTTTGAGCGTACCATATATATTGAGTTGTAGCCCTTAACAAGGACAATTCGAAACCACTTTGACCCGACCCCAAATCGGAAGTAGACCCCACTCAAAAAATTGCCCCAAAATAGCCATTTAATGCAATTTTTCACACATTTTTCCAACAAAGTTGATCCGGACAGCCCCATGTTCGCTTGGAATGCTTTTACTTGAATTGGAATATGCTGGTATGATCTGGTCAGGTCTGGTCTGACCATGTCTGGTCTGATCTTACTGGTATAGCCTGTAGTCTGATCTTACTGGTTGTTGTGATGGTATGGTTACTTTTAGATCAAGTGCTTCATTTCGTTGTTTACTATCCTGCCAAACCTCTATTTCATTGAATTAAAGGAAGTTGAATAATGAATATGAAGATATTTGGTTTTACTCCCAGAGTAATCTTCATAACACAATTTTCATTCTCTATTTATGCTTTTGATTTTACTTCAGTTGTAGTTTAATTTCTATTGTCCTTCCTGATACAAAAAAAATGTCAATTGAGGCGCAGACATTTTTAGGGTAATAGATTAAGGCAAACAGATATGTTGTCTTATTCAAATGTGATATAGGAATTGCTGGAGAGGAACTAGTAGTGGAGCCGGTGGGTCTGATTATGCATAGTATTATAAATATGAATATGACTCTTAATCTATATACTCCCTCCGTCCCCCTAAGTTTGTCCCGTTTTACCTTTTTCATCCGTTCCACTAAGTTTGTCCCATACCATATTTGCTCACATTTGAGTGGTTAGAATTCATTCTTACTTTATATACACTTTTCAATTCAATACCAACCACACAATTTCACTTTTTCTTAAAAACCACACCATACCTCTCCGTCCCAAACTTAGGGGGACGGAGGGAGTATCTATCTATCTTAATCTATATATGCAAAGATAGTTTGACTTCTCTAGAATTAAGGAAATAAATTGACTTTACTGTAGAAAACACTGTTTAGACACTGTTTAGTACTGTTTAGACACTGTTTGACACTGCTTTGAAGTAGAATTCTTTGCCAAACACGAAGTAAGAAAATAAGAGAAGTGTGACTTTGTTTTTGAAACATCCAAAAAAGGAAAATGTAACTTTGATTGCGAAACGGAAGGAGTATAATTGTGATACAGGGTTTTCCTTAGCACACTTTTGTTTAAGTTGATTACTATGATGTACTCCCTCCGTCCCCCTAAGTTTGGGACGGAGGGGTGTGGTGTGGTTTTTAAGAAAAAGTGGAATTTTGTGATTGGTATTGAATTGATAAAGTGTAAATAAAGTAAGAATGAATTCTAACTACTCAAATGTTACCAAATATGGTATGAGACAAACATAGTGGGACAGACGAAAAAGGTAAAACGGGACAAACTTAAGGGGACGGAGGGAGTAATTATTTACAACTATGATCCAGTTGACTGTGAATGTGAAAAGTTATTACGGAGTAGTTATTTTGTTCCTTACCAAATTTCTATATTTTCAATTACATTTCAGAGAGAATTAATATCAAACACTTTAGGCAAAGTCACGATTTCACATCTGTGGGCCGTCACACTGTATATGGCTGAGTGCCCTGATCCAGTCAACTCTTTGTTAGGGTTGGGACCGGTTCGGTTCTTACTCAAAATGAGTGGAACCGTTATAAAAGTTTTAACTAATGAAATCGGTTCGGTTCCTATATAAAAAATCAAGAACCGTTATGGAACCGAACCGGTAGTAAACGGTTCGGTTCTTCCTTTTACCGGTTCCTAGAATAATTTTTTCTCGTCTAAGAATTAACACATAATTTTAAACACGTCGAAAATTCAAAACGCGAGTATTAAAATTTTATTTGAAGCTCTAATCACTTCAAACATCAAAGCTAAAACTTAACTAATGAACTTTGAACACTTAATAGAACAAAAGTGATTTAAAGTTTTATGTAATAAATAATGAAACATTAAAAATCGTTGTAGTGTCGGGGCGATGAAGGTTACTCGTCATCATAGTAGCAAGAATAGAACGCCTACTTCAAGTTGTTCAAAACATAAAAAAAAGACATTGAGTTTGCATGTATAGATATAAAAAAACATTATTACATTCTATTGATTCATAATAAATCTAATAATTAGAAATATCATGAAAATAGTAAAGTAAAATATGTGCAATCAACTACAAGTTATTTGGGTTATTTATTTTATATTTATAAAATTTATGTGATGGAACAAAACTTGATTTGTAGAAAGGAGTTTAATGTATTATATCAACCTCATGTACAATATTTATTACTTCTTTTCCGTTGATTAAATTAGAATTGTTAGTTAAATATCTTATATTGTTTTATTATTGTTGTGATGGTGGTGGTTATTATTGCTATTATATTATTATTATTATTGTTACTACTACTACTACTAATATTATTTTATTTTTTATTTTTTATAACGGTTCCTTAACGGTTCCATGCACATATTTTTTATAGGAACCGGGAACCGAACCGTTATAACCTGCTTCGGTTCGGTTCCTACAAATGAGGCATTAATTGTTAACGGTTCGGTTCCTAGATGTTGTTACCGGTTCGGTTCCAATCAGTTCTACGGTTCCCGGTTCCAAAATCCCACCCCTACTCTTTGTTATGTGTGAGGACAATAAGCCCAGCAAAATTATACTCCCAGATTAAGCACCGCCTTCCCGATCCAGCCCACCGGTTCTTCCCTAATTCCGAAATCAGATTCAGAATTAGGGCAAAGATTCTAAGAAATGTTCATCGAATCCTAACCAGAAAGGCTTATCGTTAACCAGAGCGATGGTGTGCATTCGCAAGGCGACGATCGATGATCTACTGGCAATGCAGGCGTGCAATCTGATTTGCTTGCCGGAGAACTACCAGATGAAGTACTACTTCTACCATATCCTTTCATGGCCGCAGCTACTTTATGTGGCTGAGGACTACAACGGAAAAATCGTAGGCTACGTGCTTGCCAAGATGGACGAAGAGACCACCGAGAGCCATGGTCACATCACCTCCCTCGCGGTTCTTCGCACCCACAGAAAACTCGGCATTGCCACCAAGCTCATGACTGCTGCTCAGAACGCAATGGAACAGGTCCAGAACCAAATTAAATTTGGATAATTTTTCTCATTTCCTTTGTGCAATTACTACTCCGTATCTTTGTCTCATCGCTTGATTGCCTCTTTTTTCGATTGCTATAATATACTCCGTACTTGTGCGTGGATGAAAAAGGTAATAAATTAGTACAATTGCTTTAGTTTACTTGTGTGTCTTTGAAAAAGGTAATAAACTATCACTGTAATTGTATGTTATGTAGAGACTTTAGAGCAATTGCAATTTGCGATATACTTTTGGAGAAGATTGTTTACTGACTACTGTCCTGTTTAAATTGTCTGTGGTAGAGTATATTAAAATTTTGAATATAGGGATGATTTTAACTGTTAGGACTTAGGAGTGTAAGTGATTTATGTGAGGTTTACGCCTGTAGACAACACAGGGAGGCTTAGGCCACGAGACGTTTTAGCTCCACCTCTGGTTGAGGCGTGCCTGGAGCCACAATAGCCCTTTAAGAACATGGTATGAGCCAATCACATGCTCTACCAGGAATTTCTTGTGCATTGCTGCATTAATAATGAGTATAGACTGTATCCTGAAGAGATAACCACTGGTAAATAGACACAAATTTGAAATTGGAAAGTGAAAGGGCATTAAATCTCTTTGGGTTTCATTTGTTAAAAAACTGAACAGCTGTGCTTGCTTGTATGTGATAATAAAAGACACATTTATTGAAAAAAATGCCCTTTTCTTTTCCCTCGGATGGAATTACCTTGCATTTGAGGTGCGTTTGGAACACAGGGAATGTTAGGGAAATTAATTGGAAGGAAAATAGGAAATATTGACTCCATGTATGTGTTTTAGATATTTTTTCAAACACATTTTATTTATTTATTTATTAAAACTAATACAGTCAACTATAGTCAAATTTTTAACGTTAATTATATTTGATTTTCCATGGCATTTACCGAGGTGAAGCCATACATAAGAAAATACCTTTTGTAGCTTTTTCCCTTTGCATCTAGTGTTCCAATTTTCCAAAAATACCCTTAAGGTGAAGACCTAACTAGCACCTATGTTTGTAATGTTGGACAGGTATTTGGAGCAGAATATGTGTCATTGCATGTTAGGAAAGGTAACAGGGCAGCATTCAAGTTGTACACGGAGACATTAGGGTACAAGATTCATGATGTAGAAGCAAAATACTATGCAGATGGTGAAGATGCTTATGATATGAGGAAATCATTGAAAGGTAAGAAGCAGCCCAAAAACCAGCACCACCACCATCATGCCGGAGGGGGGTGTTGCTCTGGGGAAGTGAAATCAGATGGAAAGGATGGTGTGACAGAAGGGAGTGACCATTGATAGGATAGGTGTGTAGCTTACCGGTTTTCATTTTTCTTTCTAAAATCCACTTCTTGCACGTTTATGCTCTTTCCTTTACACCCACCAATTGTCATCAATCTTAAATGTATCTTCAGATCCCATCCTATGTGTGTCTTTCATATATATACAATAATAATACGAAGTAAGAATTAATTACATATTTATGATTTTATGTGCCTGCCAGGCTGCCCGTATGGCAACCCTACTTCAGCAGCTATTTATTTTGTTGATTTAATGCCATACTTGTGGCAACAGATAAACATATGAATTGAATGTGATATATCAACTTCACAGTTTTTGCAGTGCAAGTCATTTGGTTATAAAGTGGGACTTGACATTTTGAATTATCACATATTCACATTGGTTTTGAAATCTGGGGATTATTATTTATTAACAACAAAAAAACTACTTGAGGTGTTTTCAATTGAATTCATAGTATACCACTAAACCGTAGCCATTTCCTAAACTATAGCGACCCTTCCCCTGTCCCACCCAAGCTGAATACTCGATAAAATAGGTTTACTCATTGGAAATGGTAATGTGGACTATGATACTCCGTAAAGTTTAGCATAATACTCCCTTCGTCCTGGAAAATTGTTTCCGGTTTTCTTTTTTGGCCGTCCCAAAAAATTGTTCCACTTTCCCCTTTTGGAAAGTTTTTTGTGGTTATAATTCATTTACCTTTTTCTTACTCAACCACAAACATATATTTCTACTTTATTCCCACCTTCTTAAACTCTGTTTCAAGTCAATGCGGGAACAATTTTCCAGGACGGAGGGAGTACTAATTAAGTACTATTGTAAACCCAAAATTACTTATAAGAATTGACGATAATAATGAAATTTAAGTGTGGGATCAAACAGTCTAGACAGACATAGAGAACGGCAAAGAAGCCCAATGCTTGTGAGAGTTGATAGTGAGCCATGGAAGAATTATTTTGAACTATTGAAGTATTGTAAATATGATTACAAATTTCGAAGTTGGAGCATAATAAAGGAATGTCATAAAGTTTTCCTCCACCGCTCATGCGTTAAGTTCTGTATCAAAAGTCTTGCAACATGAGCCCATGGCTGTCTATGTAGTGGATGCCTTGATAGAATAGGACTTGTGCTCTCACCAGGAGCCCACGGCAATTTTTTTTTGTGTTTGGACCACATAATCGTGGCCAACTCTAATATAAAATCATATTATAATTGTATAAAGACTCTACATAGTAGTATTACATAGTAACATAGAGCCTCTATACAAAAAAAACGCCTTTATATAGTACAAATATATCTTTCATTCTTAAGAGCTCTTTCGAAAAAAAATCTTAAGAACTTGTATACGGCACTACAAAAAAATGCTTTTATGGAGTACAAAATACTGATTAGCCAAAAAATGCCACCAAACCTTTGATGCATTATAGTCTCTACTCAAATGTTCCGGTACTAACTACTAAGCATGAAAACCAACTTTTTTTTATTATTTTGGTTTGCCAGATGCAGATATTACTTGTGAAGTTGTGAGTTAATACGTATGATTTTGGTTGAATTGACTGAATTTACTGAAATTGATGAAGTTCTAGCTGAAATAACTAAATCAATTGAATCTGATGAATTATAAAAAATTATATTTAAAATATTTTATTAATAAAATAAAAAATATTTATACGAAAATAACTAAAAAGTTACTTTATAGTTAATTCAGCCAATTTAGCCATAAAAGTAATTTCAATCTTATTTATTTTGATTATTATTCCATTCAACGCGAAATCAAACATTACATGTTTGATCAACAATACTTCTCCCGTCCTATTAAAAATGTCTTATCTTTTCTTTTTCTTTTTCCGTCCTACTAAGATTTGAGACATCCTCATACCAAATTTGATAAGATTTGTATGATTATAAGCTATTATTACTTTATTTTTATTGTATCAATTCAATATAAATCACTCACATTCATTTTTTTAATAAGTGAACGACATTTTCATGTTTCAATATTAGTGGGATGGAACTACTAATTTATAACTAAATGTCACATACAAGAACATGACGTTTATTACACGTATTAATTGAGGTTGCTACACACTACAAAAGTTGAACTTAATTTGATGTCGTTTAAAAGTTGTTCTCCAAACAGTACACTTATTGCTAATGTCTATATCACATTTGTCAAATTAAAAGTTGTTCTCTAAACAGAACTCTTATTTGCATGTGACGGCCCGCGGACGGTTCACCAATTTCACTACCAAATTTTAATATTCCCTCTGGACCATACCACATGTTCTCCAAATCCTTGGGCATCTTTTCGTACACGTGCGCTTATTTAAATCTCTAAATTCATAAGTTCAGTTTTGGAATGCACTTTTTTATTTAACAAAAGAATGTTGAAGTTTCAGACAGTCAAAAAGGCTGATAAAAGTCGGAGAGAATTTTGCCAAAAAAAAAACAAGTAGGAGAGAATATTCACACTCCGTTAAACGTCTACAAAAACGCCAAAACGGAACATCTTTCATAAGCTGAACCTGGTTAATTACTATTACTAAAAATAGAAGAATATGAATCAATGTGTGAATAAATAGTAACAATAATGATCACACCAATAACAGTAGAACTAGTCTAACTAAAACAAAATACATAGGGTTAACCAATTATTGTAATTCCACAGATACTAAATACAAAATGAGGGAGAGGAAGAGAATCCAATGCTTATTATTTGCCTTGCTCTAACGTTTCATTGTGATGATCTTCCCCACCCACCCACCATTGAACAAAGCTATGTACATATTGGGTGGGTTAAAGGAGCAAGAGATGAGAACAACATTGTTTGCATGCTATCTGAACTGCCTTGCAAAGCGGCCAGGAACCCTAGGGGTAGGCGCCACCAAGTCTCGCCCTTGTTTAATCATTGCTATCCGATCCTCGATCGTCTTGTCAAAAAGCCGACTCTCGGGATTCTCGGCATAGCAAACGTAGTAACAGCTCACACAAGCTTGTGGCACCGCCATCGCAATCCTTGTCTGCCATGTACATGTTTGATTCAATGTTTTAGTTCAGCTAGCAAACTGGTTGAGGATTTATACGCTTGTATTAAACCATTGGTTTTACATGCCCGCGAGATGATGTCATATTGGTTATACCCTAACAATTAAACCCTACTAGGATAAAGAACTCAACCCTTCTATAGAAACGGGCTTAGATTCAGTTGATAGATGTCCGATGTTTGATTTAAGTCCTCGATAAGCTCGATAGAATACGCTCAAATGTAGGATTTTAGCTTACACTCGATAATAGGTTCATACTTGAATACTTAGAAGTTTGATCGACACATGGAATAATAATGTGTCACTATATTTCTTTTTCTGTACACGATTGAATTGACAAGTGGAAAGACGAGAAAGACTAACCAAAAGGTACCCAATGTAGGCGGCCAAGAGGGAGAGGGTGGCAGTGAAGTTGCGGTATACGGCGGCCGTCCAAGCAGCCACCACGATAGCACAGATGGAGCCGCTGCATATTCCGGTGAGGAAGCAAATCGCACTCGTCATGTCCGAATCCACAATCTGCTCCATCTCCCGCCTCTGGAATAGCTCCCATGTGTCTTGCGATGCTCTCACAAAACTCTTTCCATAAGCAGCAATCTGAGCAAGCTTAAGCAGTTCTTGAAATTGAACTCAAATTTTCAATTTTTTAGGGATCAAATAAAAGTTCTTTTTTTGGGGAATTCTTAGGCAATGAAGACAGTAAGAACCTGGGTCAACAGGTTAATTTAGCTGAAATTGGTCAAAAGGGATGAAATAGTGAAACTACGCCTGAAAAAGTTTAGAAGTAAAATTTCAAAAAAGGAAAGTGTTTAAAAGATGATGGTTAAAGACTTAAGTGTCATTGACCTTTATTTCCGAGAAAGTATTCAACTTTGGCACCATTTTCCAAGTTATTGTCTGTTTCAACTCTCAACTACTTCTGCTTTGAAACACAGTCAAACAATTCATGTAGTACTTTTAATACAAAAACTGACTGCTAATGACCCATAAATCATGAAATAGAGGTACCAAACGGGTTTTACAAATTAGTATCACATACAAGTATATATGTGATGCAAGGGATAAGATTGCGTACATCCGACCCCCTTACCCCATCATAGGTGGGAGCCTTTGCGGCACTGGTGTAGGGGGTAATGATGAGTGAATGCATGGATACAAGTATATACAAACAATTGAGACAGGTCAATGGCATCAATGGAGCAAGAACATTGGGAAGTCATATACACAACTAGACAAATCAAGATAGATCAGAACAAGGTCACCATCAAGTTCCATCCTAAAAGATCTACTACGTATTTGATAAAATAAGTAGCATGCCTCAAACCCTTTTTGTTGATTACTACTGAGTAATGTATTATTTATTGAAGAAGTACAAAGAAAAGAACTAGAGAATCAAGAAATGGGAGTACCTGAACATATGCCCAACCATTGCCACGCTTGAAGATGGAGTCCATGAGTTTGAGTCCGCAACGAGCACAACAAAACATGAACTCGTCTTCCCCCTCCAACAAATTCAAACCGCGTGCCACGACCCTAAGAGCCTCAATAGTAGGTACAAACACGGAACCAAGGGAAGCGCTCCCGAGATTGTTAGACAAGGCTCTTTGGAAACAAAACTTGGTACGCGATTGCATTCCCCTAAGGTAATAGAGGGAAACCACCCTACTAACCGTCAAGTTCACCACATTCCTCATCACCTCAGTGATCCAAGCCATGCTCAATACCATTATAATGATGACCAATGGGGGGAAGTAGAAGTTTATGGCGCCTACAATGGCCAAAACCCAAAATGACATCCAAACAAACCCCGCTCCAAGCATCCAATAAGTCGGCTCATTCAGGTCTCCAAATTTAGGAACCGGGTCGAGAGCCTTGATCATTATTTTACAGAAATAGCCCGTTCTTGGTGTGACCCAACATGAATACAGCCCGTTCCCAATTGCAAAGAAGATGAAAAGGACGCCTAATCCATCCGTGGACGGTCTTTGGCAACAAATAAGGAGGATCCCGGCTGTTAATGTGAGGATAAAAGAGCTCCAAAGAATGAAATGGACCATGAATTTAGGCCACATTCGGAATCCCTTTTGCCATAAGACAGCAAGGGTTATGCTCAGAAAACTTGCAGCTTCCACTTGAGGAAGGAAATACTTTAAAAGTCTTTCCTCCGTTATCTTGGCTTCCCCTGC